AAAAAACTTGCCTTTGGTGAATAGTCAACGGAACAAAACATTCTGCGGAGCTTTCGCTGGACAGGACTCTCGCCAACGAAGACGAAACTCCTTCACAAGGCAGCGGAATCTTCTGGCCATTTATTAACGAACTGACGGTTTGCCGCCAAGTGCGATTGGTGATTGAACGTGCTCAGCGGGGTTGCGACGTTGGTCCCTTATGAATGCAGAGGAGCCCGAAACATTGAAGAAAGATGATCAACTCGATTTGAGCATCTAGCAAACAAGAGAGCTGACGCATCAAGTTCCGCCAGCGCTAAAACATGTTTAAGCGGGAGAACCCATTCCGCCAATGGAATTGACGAGTCTCTCAGTGCAACGAACTTTGCTCCGGCAAGGCAACTGAAAATGGGGAGGAAAATGGCGAAGAAACTTCCATTGATCACGGGGCCCCTTGGCTTCAAACAGGAGCGGAATCGGGGCCTGAACGGACTGTTCCGCTCCGAAAGAGTGGCGAACGGACCGGATCTAGATCCCGCTTCGAGGCCGCTTCACAAAGAGCAGGCCACAAATCGGAGCATGAACCGATTCCTATTGTCTGTAAACCGGCCTCGAACCGGGGGGCAATTCCGGTTCATCCGCCACTTTTCCGGAGCGGAACTCTCCGGTTCGGTCCTGATTCGGCTCCAATTCCAAGCCAATGCGCTCGTTAAATATCACTACAGAAGGCCATGTCAAAGTGCTGGTTCGAAGCTTGGAGGACGGCCCAATTGCTTGTGGGGTAAACGATCGAAAGGAAGGATGAACAGGATGCAGCTGACACAGTCTTCAGGAATTTTGAGATGATGCCAGCCGGGGGTCGTCACCATGTTTGACGCGAGAAAGATGAAGAGGGAACGAAGAAAAGGCTCGGAATGGGAGCAGAAAAGTTGAGAAGCGGAAAGGAAAGCTTTAAAGGAAGCGGAAATGCTGATAGCGGAAGCGAATCTATGGCGGAACGTCACAATCTATCTTTCTAGCTCGAGAAGCCAGTGTCATGCTTTGGCAGTCATGTAACGCAGGTGAGTAACGTCGGATCTTTCGCCTCTCTCCTTACTGAAATAAATAGGTTGCTATCACATGCACAACAGGTTGAAGAAGCCAAAAATCGCGCACTAGGAACCGACCGAGGCGATTTTTGCGACCTTTAAGTGTCATCCTTCTTACCTCGTTCTGGGCGCTCCTGGCCGCCTCCTGGTCGCCTCGAAGAAATGCAGTGACCGTCGTGGCGAGCGCCACGTCCGCTTCGGCCCTGAGGCGCTCCAGGTCGTAGAGAGCCGAAGCAGCCTTCGCGAGCGTGATCGTGACGTCGTCGACGTCCTGAGCAACGATGAATTAGGACAATCTCAGAAACGACGTATACGCACAAGGTTGGTTATTAATACTACATAGCTCTACGTTTTTCGAGCTCGATTCGCCTCAAAAGATGAAAGTTTCATTTGATTTGGTCACTACCTTCTTTAGAAAAGAGTGGTCGAACGAGAGTGGCTCGAATACTCAGTACCCCGCCGTTGCGCCGTGATTTGGAGACTTGGTGGAGGCGACTTTCCAGATGAATATCCGGATCATATCCGTGCTTGTTTGCAAAACGAAGTTACGCAGAAAATCAGGTACTGACCAGGTTACGCTTCGATTCATTGAAGTGTCTCAGAGACGAGAACAATTTAAGGGCCGCAGCTTTTCGTGTGGCCACGATTCGGCGACTGAGCGTCGAAGACACCAAGGCCTTTATGTAGACTCTGGAACATGGGATCGGCGGTGCTCAGGCTGTCACTACCTGACTGAGATGCTAATTTTACCAGAAAGTAAGCTCAATAAGTTTTGGAACCCAATGAGCCCTGTCACATATGATTCAATAGCAGGCGAAGCGGGATGAAAGCATTTTTCTTGAAATTTTAGGCCGAGTGCGTAACGGCAGAAAGCCTCGTAGATTTGAGATTTTCAAAAGAGAAGCAAAGGCAGCGTCGCACGAAGTTTGATCTCAAAAATGCAAGCAAAAGACGAAAGCGAGGAGCTCGGAGCCGGACGGATGCGACGACGAAGTCAAAAAAAGACTCCGACTGCGGAAAAGCAGTGATATTGGCACGGGGGCAAAACAGAGAATCTAATGGCAGAAGGAGCTCGAGCGGACGGGCAATCAAAAAGAGTACATGCGACCAACTTGCCTGCGATGCCGCGCCTTTGCCGTGGGCTCGTTTGCGGGCGGCTTCGTTTCGTCCTGCAGGTTAATGAGTTCAACATTAGGCGTTTGCTATCTGAGAGAAGAGGGGAAAATAGCGACAACGCAGAGCTTGGTCAGTACGTCTGTCGTTTGAAGCGCTTTTTTCGTACTCAGCTTGCAAGCGGCAAAACAACAATGGGTCCCAGACTCTGTTTCAACAACCTTAAAGAGGACGATGTTGGACAGTCCCACACGGCGACCAGATGCCCCTAATCCGACTAGCTTAGCCGCTCGCGAAAGCCACGTGGGCCAAATTCGTAGCGACGGGCAATAGATGCGTGCTAATTAGATGTCGCAGGGAGCGACATGGGGCAGACCCCCTTCAAAGACACTATTCAGATCGCTCAATCAGGTGTCGGTCAATGCGGTCTTCAGAAAGGTTCTGGGCAATCCGTTGCTATCCAGCCTCAGAGCTGAAGAACCTTGCCTTGGCAGACACAACGGTTCCTGTGAGAAGAATTCTTTGCAGGTCCTGCCCTTTGTAGCAGTTAGGAGAGGACTTCTGGATTTACACTGAATTAGAGCAGTCGCATTAGATTCAAATTAGATTGCTAGCCATGCAAGCCCAACTTGTGAACCAGATGAAGGAAGAGTTCTTTGTGGCTGCAAGCTGATGCGGAGGCTGCCAGCCTAATCATAAGGAAAACGTTTAAAAGGACATTGATTCGATGCGTAGACTTGCAAGAGGAGATTAGTAAGGGCTGGGTTACTTATGCACTTTCAAAGCCTTCTCACCCTGAGTCCTCAAGGAGTCCGAACGCTGTGAATGTGGATTACCTCTGGACTGCTCCGGCGCTTTTGGAGCTGGCCTCGTGTCGTCTTGAGCGGACCCCCTCGTACGGCTCTGGCTTTTTCGGGCCTCCAGACGTGCTTCCCCAGCTCCAGTCCCTGCGAAGGGCAGTGAGCAGAAGGTCTTCTCAGGACACGTGTCAATCGAGAGTGCTAATAATTGATTGTTCTTTCATTGCTTGTCAACCCCACACGCTTTCAAGGGCCCAATATCAATTTGAAGGTTAATTCAGAACTTCGAGCATCTCCGTATCCACCAAGGACAGCCTCTAAGAACCTGTTCAAAGAGTGCGCTCGCTCTTAAACTGACCAAGACAACAAGATCTTCCACCAGAAAGGCGGGTCAGAGTCATCATAGTCCATTAGTCAGGCCCGAATAAGAGGAGTTGATGATCTGAAAGCGGCAACCAGAAGAGGAGTCTACACACAATTCAAAAAGGCGCATGCATGATCAGGGACTCGCAAAACTTCCTCACGAACGGAAAAAGACGGAGAGACATTTTCTTCGGACGGATGAGGGACCCCAGAGAAGGACTGTAAGTTCCTACGAAAAGTCCTTTATTGTTTCTGATCTGTACGTTGCGGAGCAAAGCCGCGCAAACGTGAATCCATTGGAAAGCTGTGCAATCTCTGTCGATCCAGATTCTGTCGGTTCAACTTGTGTGGGGCGGCAAGCTTGGCCGCAAGTCGGGTTGTGCTACAGCTCCTCTCCATAGATTATGAAGGACTCGTCAGGCTGCCTTTATCGAGATATAGCCTTGCTGAGTCCACGCAAGACTGTGCTTTCTACATGTTCGCAACACGTGAAATTGTATGCAGAGGACCTGACTGGTCATGTACAAC